AAATGTAATTTTGTGTGATTTCCTCCAGCTCACCTCTGAACTGGAAACATCGGTGACCTGAATTTAACCGACAGCCAGACTCTAAAGTTTGAGGGATAAATATTATTTTTATCCCAGTTAATGATGCAGACGGACGATGAATTATTCCTGAATGCTGAGCAATGCGCTCCCAGACCAGTAGGTGGCGCTGCAGGCTGACTGGAGAGGAAACCGCTGCTTCCTTCCTTCTCCAGAGGCTCCACCCACTTAGCAAAGCCCAGGGATTTGATTGGTCACAGCAGGGAAGTGTTTGTTGATATTTAAAGGAAACAGCATTGATGGATTTATGAGCTACAACCATAAAAACCAGTTTAAGCTGCTTCTGGAACTGGTCGGGACGTTTGATATGTGTGTGAGAGGAAACGGGAACAGAACTATACAACTTCTTTCAAAATAAAAGATTGGTTGCAGGAAGCTGGTGGCTACAAGTGGAGCAATGCGCGTGTGTGAGCGTGTGTGTGCATTGCTATGACTGTGAGGACCGTAGGGTAACCTGTCCTTATGAGGACACATGTTGGTGTGGGGACATTTTGAGAAATGTCCCCACACCAACATGTGTGAGCGTATGTGTGTGTGTGTTTCAGGATTTCTCACCTTATAAGGACCATTTTCCCTACATTGTGAGGACCCACTGCTCCTCATGGGGCCCAAAGCCCAGGGCCCCATGAAGAGCAGTGCTGTCTTAAGGTTTGGGTCAGGCTACAGAAATGCATGAGAAATTAATGGAAGTCAATGCAAAGTCCTCGTGAAGATATAAAGACGTAAGGGGTGTGTGTGTGTAGTATGTGTGTGTGGCTCAGCAGCAGCAGTGCAGCTTGCTCGCCCTCTGCGCCTCTCTGTCTCAGACCACCGTGCTGACGGAGGGATCCGATAGGTTGAGCTGGCCAGTGATGTCCGTCGGGTACGGCTACAGCAGAGGGACAAAAACAGGGAGAGACAGAAAAACAGATGTGAAATGGACGCCGACCCAGCCGCAGGTTCTGCCTGAGCTCACTCTTTCTGGGTCGGTTCTGATCCAGAGCTTCTCTACTGAACGGCTATCAGCAGTGGTGGAAGAAGCCAGACGTCCTGCAGCAGCTTCACTGATGTCCATCAGCCTCATGTCCAGGTTCCTCCAGATCCAACGTGTTGAACGTCTCCATGAAGCAGCTAATGTTTTGTGACCTGCAGTACCAGCGCAGGGCTGTAGGGGGCAGTGTGTCCTCAAAGGGAAAATCTGCTGCTGCTGCTGCTGAGATGGACGGTTTGTTCATAGCGCAGCAGATCTTCCAGCCAACTGCTAGTCAACTTGTCGGGTCGCGGGAGCAGCAGCTTCAGAGGGGAAGCTGAAGTTTCCCGGAAAAACATGAGACTTGACAGGAATAACAACAGGCCCTGTTGTTACTGATCCATCGGTTTCTGACCCGGCCCGGTTCTCTGGCCTGCAACAACATTAGGAGCTGAAACCATCCATCCCATAATACGGCGGCGGATCCAGTCTGTAACCGGATCAAAGGAAGCAGATTCCTCTTCCTCCCGGCTGGAGTCTTCCTCAGCCAGTAGAGCAGGTTTCTCCACCACCGCTGATGAAGCCGTTCGCTCTAACCTGGAGTCTGTCTGCTCAAACAGGAAGTGTATGTGTGTGTGTGTGTGTGTGTGTGTGTGTGAGGCTATAGTCGGTCGTGCTTGCAGAGGAGGACAGAGGCAGAGTGTGTGTTTGCAGTCTGGACACCATTTAAACCCACTGAGAGAAAAACACTCATATAGGAAGTAAAGAGAAATGAGTCGGTCCAGCAGCCGTGCCCGTCCCTGAAAGGACAGCTGTCTCTGTCTTCACATGCAACTGAGGACAGGAGGACACCAGAAAGGACAGAGGAGAGCTGGTGCCAGAGTCTGAAACAGAGACGGGTTAGAGGACAGAGACACGTCTCCGCCGGGCGACCTGAGGACGAGAGGCTGGACGTTAGTGGAGGAGACAGAGAGGGACAGGACAGGAAGAGGCAGACGAGACAGACATGGGACACCACACAGGCTGACCCTCTTCCCTTCTCCTTTGCAAGAAGACGACGCGATCAGTGTGGGACTACAGCTGGACCTGACTGCCTGCAGGCGTCCAACATGCCGCCTGTCTCTCCGTCTCACGGTGGGACAAATGTGATGGGGACAGAGAGATCAGGAGAGGACCGAGCTGATGGGAGGGACAAAGAAGGAGGGAAATAAAGGAGTGAGGAGGAGGAGGGGACGGACAGGAAGCGATGGAAGACAGGAGGACAGGTGGTCTTCGTGTCCTTACCGTGGCGTCCCCGGGGGCCAAACGGCGTTTGAGGTCGGAGGTCGAAGTGATGGACCTAAAAGAGGTTTGGGACTCTGGCTCTGCTCTACCACTTTTCCTATCCTACAATAGATCATACGATAGGCGCACACACACATTAACAGGCGGCAGAGACACTGCAGCTAACACTCAGGCCAGCAGGGGGCGACATGGGAGAGGGGCGGGCAGAGGGTGATGGGCAGCGTCTGGACACCGGAGGACACAGAGTGAAGGACAAGGAACCAGAGAGGAGCAACCAAACGTCAGCTCGGCCGCCATGTTGGGAGGGGCAGCAGCTCTGCTCTGCTCTGTTCTGATTGGTTGTTTTTCTGACTTCATCATTTCCTGGTTCCCTTTGCTCCTTCTGTTTTACTGTCAAACAGAAGTTGTGATGTGTAGCCATGGCAACGGAGTATTGTTCCTAAACCGGGAGCAGCTGATCAGCATCTCATAAGCTCAAACACCTGAACTTTGACCTCATCCCAGAGGAGCTGAAAGGGGCTCTGTGAAATCAGAGAAAGGATGAAGTTCAAACCGTCTCTCCCTCAACTCCAACGTCTCTCTAACCGTACGGCCTGACGGAGAGTTAAAGAGGAGCGGCAAAAGCAAAGGAGAAGGATTAGCAGAGCTAGCTAACAACTGATGATGTCATCCAGGATGTTACTGTGGAGCTCTGTGGCCCAGAATGGAGCTGTTAGCATGTTAGCATGAAACTCTCATACAGCAACACAACTTTCATTTAAACGCCTTCATGTTTGAGTTTCACACTCTAATATGTCGAACATTAATATTTATCTGAAGATCTGAAACATCTCTGTGATAAATCAGAACTCTATATATACATTTATATGGATTTTACGCAGTATTTTTGTGCTTCTTTTTTTCTTTATATTTTCTCACAAGATGGCGGACAGCAGGAGGGCCAACGCCACTCACAAGATGACGGCCGCTTGACGTTGGAGTGGACAGAGAGCGGTTCTTCTGGCTGCTGGATGAACGGCCGAATCTCCTCAGGGAAAACCTCCAACATTGGCTGACTGCATCTGGTCAGGTTCTGTCATCAGAACCTCGTCCTGGATTCACTGTGGAACCACAGACTGACCCGGTTCTGGTCCAGTTCTGCTGCTGCATCAGGACTCTAACTGGGGGGTGGTGTGGTGGCGCAGGTTCAATTCCCGGCCTGGTGACCTTTGCCACATATCTTCCCTTCTCTCGTTACCTGGTTTCCTGTCAATTCACTGTCACATAAAGAGCCAATGAACCTCTGTCGGTCCTACTGAGCACGCTCCGTCCCGCAGGTCCTACTGAGCGCGCTCCGTCCCGCAGGTCCTACTGAGCGCGCCCTGTCCTGACAGGAAGCTTCATCCAGCAGGTCAGGGAGAACAGGGCGGCCAGCGAGCGCCTGCTGGATTTATTCAGCTAATTTAGCTACGATACAATAATGATGTATTTACATAACATAATTAATGAAGCATAACTGTATTCATAAAGTGTAATTTTGTATTACATATAGATAAAACATTCTGATCTGTTTGTAGGACAGAATCAGCTGAACAGAACCGCTGAGGTCCAAACCTACAGACACTGGAGGCTGACCAGGACCAGGTCACACTGTGTGTGTGTGTGTGTGTGTGTGTGTGTACTTTGTGTCCATCTGTTCAGCGCAGCAGCAGGTTTTCTGGCCGCCTGCAGCCTTCAGTCTGTCCCGTTGCCTCTGTGTGTTTAATAATAACTACATCGGCTCCCTGTAGCTCAGAGAACAGACTGTAAAATACTGTTAGTTTATAAATCACTGGACGGTTTAGGACCACAACACATTATAGATCTGTTGTTGTTGTATCAACCTTCCAGACCCCTCAGGTTCTGGTTCTGCTCTGCATCCAGAACCAGAACCAAACGAGGAGAAGCAGCATTCAGCTTCTATGCATCACGAATTTGGAACAAATTTCCAGAAAACTGTAAAACAGCTGAAACACTGAGTGTCTTTAAATCCAGACTAAAACCCTCCTGGTTAGTTTATTTGAAACATAATCAGTTATGAATTTAACGACGGCATCGACTTAATGTGACGTTTTGATTGTTGATTCTCTGCTGCATGACTTTGTGTTTTTGTGATGTGAAGCTCTTTGAAATGCCTGCTGCTGAAATGTGCTGTACAGATACAATCTGATTGATTGATTGAATAATCTCTAATCTTTAATAATCTGCTGAGTAGCAAAACTAAAGCCAGCAGAGAATCTCAGTCTCTATCATCAGAGCCTTTAAATCACCTTAACAGACGAGGTTTTAAACAAAAAGCTAATAATCAATAATTCATTCATCAGGAAAGTCAGCTGTGTGTGTGTCTGCGTGTGTGTGTGTGTCTGCGTGTGAGTGTCTGCGTGTGAGTGTGCGTGTCGGCGTGCCTCAGCGGGTTCATGGGG